TTCGCGCTTATCCAGGGGTTTTCCAAGCACAGTCCTGACCAATGACGCCAATCCAGTAACAGGTTGGCCAAAATCGTAGCAGTCCACTTCTAGCCAAAGAAAGAACTTCATAGAAACTTGGAACTCTTGAGAAATGCTACGGACCATGTTTCAACAATTATTACGGTTGTTAATTGGTTAAAAATGAAATGAAAACTCTTTTTATTGTCTCTACTGTTAACGATGTCTATTGTTTTTCATTGTCTCTATTGTTTTATACATTGCCTTTTTTACATTGTCTCTGTTGTTCTACGTCGATTCTTTCCTTCTACGAAACAAACCGAGCAATTTCAATGAAATTTGCGAAATCATAACAATGAATGCTCCGACCTGGTATACCTGGTCGTACACCGGTTATACCTGGAATTGTTACTCCAACTCACGTAAGAATATTTGTTTCTGGGAGAAAATTAAAATTTTAAATTTATGTAATCCTCAATTTAATCTATTATTCAGGATTTTTGACACAGGGATATTAATAAAAGAGATGCATAAACGTTGTGCAAGGACTTAATTAATAAATAAACCCTGCTTCCGGAAAACACCAGCATTCGTTAATCTATCCTCAAAACATTGCGAAAGTGAGTCGAGAAAAAAGCAGGAGGATTCGGCGTTCAAAGGACGAAAGTTGTTATGGTGAGATATAAAGAGAAATTATACCTTTTCCGGGTTTCAAGAAGAAATCCGCCAACATCCGTCCATATCGTTGCTGATGACTATTCAAGTCCACTTGATTTCGCAGAATTTGTCTCGCAAGTATTTGGAACGCGTGAACATCGAACATGTTCTTCGACTCACTCGCGATATTTGCAAGCGGTCCTCCAAGTTGATGCAACATTTCAAAATCCGTCTTAAAGCCATAACCTGTACCACAAAACATTTCAAAATCCGTCTTAAAGCCATAACCTGTACCACAAAAATGTTTAAAAAACGAGCGCTTTGCAAGAAAGAATTGGCAAATTGATCTTACATAGCTTCATAACCGTTGAAGAACTGAACAAATTCGCAAGAAGCACTCCGTCTTTCCCGTCCATGAATGATTTCATATGTAGCATGTCTAAGATGAACACTTCTGTTTCCGTGGAGATTTGGAAAATTGACAATCGTTTTTCGCTTTCCCCATACGTGGGCAGCCATTCACAATCGAGTCCAAGTAAAGTTTTCTGCATGAATATAAAACAAAAAATGACAGTATTTGCAATTTTGCATGAATACCGAGACAAAATAATCCCAAAATTCACCTCAAGTAGAACTTTCATGACGTTTCGATACGTAAAAATATCTCCAACGAATACAATGTTTGCTTCGTCAATCCTCAATGCATGGAACAAGGACGGATCTACGAATCTGAAAAAATACAAATAATTGACGCAACTAATTAATAAAACAGTTTCAAGAATTCTATCAGATTCAATGCTCACAATTCCTTCCTGTCGGAGAATCCCAAGTCACCAAGACGGATCATCTGCTCCACTTCAGCTGAATACAAATTCTGACTCGGTGATATTTCTGCCGCCCAGAACGATGCTTCGGAAATCTTGCCATTTTCTTGCAGAAAGTTCACGAACCAGGATGCAAGCGACTGGCTTCCATGAATTATTCTACGCACACGCTCAACGAAAGCATCAACCGCTGAAAAACAAAAGTAAAATGGATCAAGTACTGTATTGTACAGTATTGTATACTATATTTCTTCGTTAAATGAAGAGTCCCATTCTGGTTAAAAATTATTGAATAAATAAAACAAAACAGGCGCGTATCGCACCCCAATTTCAAATTTCAGTAAATTATGCAATATTTTTCTTACTTTCTTCACAAAAATTACTTCTGTGCGATTTGGAAGAAGGCTCGTGATATTCAAGTGAAAAGAGTGATTGAAAAACATGTCCAGCAGAAGATACAAAAGCTACGATGAAAATCAATATTAATGATTTACTCAAGCCCTGTGCCACAATTTTTGAGACCAAGATTTTAAAAATGAATCCCCCGTAAAATGCGCAACCCATGTTTCTGCGACACAGAAATATTTTTTTTTGAAGAAAAAGCACCTTTGAAATTTAGACTCATAAAATTCGTATTTAATTGTGCTGCGTTAAACTATTTTATCAACCAGTTTCATTTGAGCTACGTTTTTCACTTCTCATGAGTACCGTAATACACGAAAAACTATTAGTAACAACTTAAGTAAAGTATTATCTTTACGACCGAACAATTTTACATTGAATTTCAATCGTGAAGAAAGAAATGATACCAACACATCGCTTTTGAAAGATAAGTGTCATGGAACAAGAACCGTAAGGCCTGACGCCGGGTTGCGACGCAGCTATGAGGTGCACATCGTTCTTCGTCCATTAGATACAAGTTGCACCATGTTCGTATGCATTTCAACAGGTTTGACTGAGGACGAACATGTTTTTTCCTTAATCCATACTTCCTGTAAAATAACCAAAAACGGACGAGGAGCTCATCAAGAATGAAGAAAAACCACTGTTGAAAAAAAAAATTTACACAGTACAGTACGATGTATGGTTTTTTTTTTTAGAAAGGACTAACAGATATCTATTTCCGGACATTCGAGTTTTTCAAAAATCTGAACGTAATACTCTCTTCCAATCAAGGACAAAAGGTCTAAATAAATTTAGCGTGGAGATCAGAAACACTTACGCACAAACGTCCGAATACTGTCCGGGTTGTAATTCAACCAATTTATCCAGTTGTGAAATAGTCATCATTCTCAAGCTTTCACGTTCGTCGAAAACAGTCCTCAAAACTACGTCTGAATTCGAACTTAGGGCTAGTGGTACGAGAAGTGGCTCGTACGAGCTTTCAGAAAGCTTCAATTCGGTAATCCATAGAACTGCCTAAATAATCCACACAAAAAAAAAACACCGGTCAATCCTCGTCAGCTCGGTGATGCTAAAGATGGATTCGAACTCACCAACATGTATTCCTCCTTTTCAATCATTTTGGAAATTTCAAATTCGTAAAATGATGAAAGCGTATCATCTACAAGAGAAAACACGCAGCAGACCAACGGAACTATTTTCCTAAACCGCTTCGGGGAGAACAAAGCGAAGACATCCTTTTTGCGAGATGAGGAAAGCGGATGACATTTTGGATGGCCGTTCGACATGTGAAATTTCACCCGATCGAAGAGCCGAACTGAAATTTGTCGTGAAATAAAACACTCATAGAAATACAAAATAACGACACTTTTAGCAAGCACGAAGGACTTTGACTCTAGCTTCTAGCACTCTAGAATCTAGATTACTAGAATACTCTCTAGTTAATTACAGTGCATGTAGCAAAATACACTGCTAGAATGGTAGCCACTGTACTCTCACCATAGTGAAATTCAGGTCTTCGTTCAACCAATTTTCATTTATCTAAATACGACATAACTTGCACCGCTGAGCTGCATCCTTAATCCAAAAATTAACGTTTTTTTTAAAACTCGTTACCATTTTTAAAAGAAAGAAAATCATACTGGAGTCTGGACTTACCTATAAATTGTTTATTCATTACTTGATCGCCTCCAATGTCCTGGTCGCGTCCACGGCATACAATATACAAAGCGTTTTCCAGCATACTATTGGGCAAGTCGGAGAGAACCGCATCTAGAAGTTCAATTCGTCGGTGTTTCTCTTCTGTAGAATATACAATGACAGTACATAACATATCCACGTTACGGGTTCAGTGAAACTTACGTTTGACAAAAGCGTAGCTTTCCAGAAATGCGTTTAATCGCTCTATATCGGTACCGTTACACGTTTCCGACGCAGACGTGTCTTTCATTTTGTTTTCCCACAAGAGCACTACATTGGTGTTTTGCTCTGAAATGTAAGCAACAAATTCGAGCACAACGATTGTATCTCCCATAACAAGAAACGAAACTCAGAAATAAAAAATTTATAATTTCATGATTTTTTAAAATAATTTTCTATGCAACAAGATACCGATCATTCGTATCCCTGCAACATCAGATCACGTTGAGGTAAAGAAAAATTCAACCCGGCAAGCAAAACAAATTACACAACGGAAGAAATACCAAAACAAGATGTCCTTCGTTCCAGAAACTTATGCTTTTACGAAATTTACAAAAAGCATAGACAAGGAACAAAAGTTATTTCAATTTCGACGATGCTTTCCTGAAGGCACCGAAACATCACCCAAACCTCGCTTTGCTCCAGCAGATGGGACATCGAACAAATCCTGAAAAATGTAATAAATAATAATTACTGTAAAGCCTTAAATTCGTATCCGTCTCAAGTTCCACTCACCGGGCATCTGCGTTTGATTTCTGCCTCCGAAATGTCCAAATTCATCTTTCGCACCACTTCCAATACCTGCTCCATCGAGTTGTGAGTTTCTATCGCCACCAGAAATTTTTTTTCGATCTTGTGTTTCAGCTGAAAATTGCAACACAAGCCAATAAATAAAACAATCCCGAAGTGATTAGCGTATCAATGTTGAACTCGCCTCATCATATCCTTTTCCAGATCTGGTCAAAATAATTCGATTCTCCTTCCTCGAGAATTCCAGGCACATTATTCGTGGATCTGGATTTTTCAGAGTCTTCGCATCGACGCCCAGCTTCAGAAGTTGCTTACCTTTACACGTACAAAGCAAAGATGTCCGAACAATGCAAATCAAAATGCCCGAACTAAAAAAACTCACATAATCCTTGCAACATCAAGTCCGTGACCACCTTCAACTGCTCCGGCCTTATTTTCCGACGCAACTCGATGACAGGTTGTTGGTCAGGATTCTGCACCGGAACTACAGGAGCATAAGGTTCAATGGACGTCTGCGCCTAACCGGTTTTCGAGCAGAATAACAAGTCAGGATAATAACATGCACAGTCAGTCGTAAAATCAAACAATAGCGTAAACAGATTGCAAGACAAGCTTGTAATCCAGAGTAATGAATGAATTTGAGGGTATTCTGGTTTCCGCTCAAAATAAGGCGTTGCGCAGTATTCAATAGGATATCTTGAGAATCCACAGATCATCTGAGTAAACAGAAGGATCATTTTTGTGCATCCAAAAAAAATTTAAAAACGCACATTTTGACTCGGATCAAGTTGACACCGACAGAAAAACGTGCTCAATTCAGAATGATGACTTTTCTTTTCCACGCATTGAGCATGTAAAATATTAATCAAAATTTATCTAGTGTCGCTCATACATCGAAAAAGTTTGAAATGATTTTCGTGCATCAATAAAAATCTTCCTGTAATCAGGGTAAGCAGATGGATACTTTAGTCCATCCAAAACAATAAAAATTTTCATTACTCAATAGTTGACATCGAAAGTGGAACGTGCTTAATCCATGCATGAATTCAGAATAACGACTTTTTCCAAGCATTGCGCGCCTAAGAAATTACTCTACATTTCTGCAGTGCCGCTCATACATCGTAAAGGTTTAAAAAGACTTTCGTGAATTAATAAAAAAATCACATGAATTAGCGGATATTGGTTTTTTACGAGCGGAAACCGGACAACCCTCAAGTTGGTTTCGCATCAAAATTCGAAATCATTACCGGTGCAGCGTCGTCTTGTATCCGTAACCTGCGGCCAGATGCATCTGCAATCACAACTTCTCGAATAGGATTTCTAGAGAAGTCTTCTTCGGGAACAACCAGCTCCCGAACCTTCAATGGACGTATGCGAGGGTCGTTCCGAGCGGCATTCGGACGGGTTAAGCGGTTTCTATCCGCAATACCACTGTTAACCTTCCGGAGTGCAAAAACAAAATTATACACGAGTACAACCTATATTTTCTTACCAATCTAGGAAATTTTCTTCAGGACTTTTATTCAACTTCAGAAGCGGTACGTCAATATGTATGTCAGTCAGTAGGTATGACAAATCCGGCAATGCAATTTTCACCCACCCCCTACCGTCCTATAAGCTGAAAATGCAACACATGTGGAACATTCATGACAATGCAACACATAGTATATGAATTTGAAATCCTTCGGGTGATAAAAAAAAAATTAAAATTTCACAAAAACGACAGACAACCCTTGAAATATATCTTCACACCCTCGACTTCACCTAAATCTTTCCAAAGCTGAAAATTGTAATGTCCAAACATTGCTGCAAATCATGCAACATTTTCGGTTTGATTCGGCTAAAACGATTTAATACAGTATTTAAAAGAAGACACACATCTGAATATTGCGAACAATTTCAAAACCATTTTTCCAGTGAAAAATGCTGATTCTACAAAAACTTGTGCTGAATGTTTCTTTCTTTCGAAATACTGCATGTGTTTTCAAAAAATGTTGAAGGAACACAAATGTTGAGTTTTTAGGAAAAGAAAACATTGATTCCATTCCACTCTGAGAAGGTCCTTCCATTAGCAGGTCTCAAGCTGTTCAAATGTCTGCGATGCAGATGTTAAATCATCAACGTGGCTACAGTAAGTCGAAGTCCGGAGTTCAATTCCAACGTCGCTAAAAATTGAGTTTCAAAAACTAAAAACATACGTTCATAAAAATGTACTTAAAGTAGGGAAACAACTTTCCTTCACCTCCTCTGTAAGCAAAAGTGATTTAAAGAAACGTGGGGATAAGTTTTACATTAGGTTTTCAATTTCCTTCAACTTTTCGGAAACGGACGAAAACTTTGTCCCACACATTTTGAGATAAATTCACTTTAAAAATTTTTTTGAAGAAATTTCGTTTCCCAATTCCTAGTTCATTTGACATGAAAGTCTATTCCTTCGATTTTTGAAACTTTATTTTATTTATCTCATACTGCTCACCTTGAAGATCGATTCGAGTTCATCTCCATTGTCAACGTGGAATGATTCAATTAATGTGGCACCCGTTTCCGTGATGGAGAACCACTCGAACATGATTTTAAAATCCACGTCCCACTTTCTGGCTTTTTGCTCCAATGCATCGTAGATCTCGTATAAACAGAAGGCACTCAAAGCTGTGAAGTAAAACAATTACACGGTACGATTGATTCCGTTCATTTGAAAGTAAATTCGATTAGCGCCAGGTATCATAACTGCTCACTCATACTACTGTATTTTTTCTACTCCTGAAGTGCTGTAGTCAGAAGTTTTGAAAATTAATATTCTTCATGGAAAAGAGTTCCACATGGCATAATTTATTTTCATAACGGGTACATTTCCCTACAACCTTGTGAGCTAATTAAATTTTTTATTTCTGCTCTTCAGTGTTCCGGATAGAAAAATACAAATGAGAAGGACTCAGATAAAACGATATTTCGGTCATTTCCTAACTTTTCCATTACACGATAATTGAACAATTTTCTTGCGTTTTTTTGTTTTGACTATCAAAGAATTTTCGAAATTTTTTTAACATAATTTTCATCAAAGATAAAGTAAAAAAAACTTCTGAAATATGTTTTACAACTTTTCGACGTCTTTTACTAACGCGTCTAAAATTAAAAAAATAGGCACAAGAAAGAGGATAAAATGTAGAAGACGCGGAATATTCCGATCCCGCATGACCTTGAACAAAGAATACAAATTTCCTCGACTAAAAAAAATATTTATTCAGTATTTAAAAAAAAAAATTATATTTTCGATAACGCTTTTTTCCGTAACAAACGCCAGTCCGAATTGGCGCATCTCGTGAAGAAATCGGGTTTCAAAAGTTCTAAATCCCAGTCGCAACTTGAGAAGAGGAAAGGCAGAAAAAGCTCTGACGAAGTTTAAAGGATTCCGTAGACACATCTATGCATATTTCGACAGTTTACAATAACTGCCCCAGTGGAATTGCTCTCCGGGGTAGGCCATGCGGGATAAGAAAATCCTCCGTACTTCGAAATATAATTATTTAAAAAGTATAAAGTACTGTACCAGCAAACTGCACTTGCGCGGGGCGAAGCGGTCTACGTTCCCAGTCCGACATGGACTCCCGAACATCAAGAGGTTTTCCGAGGAGCAATTCGACCATACCAGCTAGTCCAACTGAGTCGGGATTCGTGCCTAAATTTTGGCAAAAGCATAATAATTTTTGTAAATGTGAACAACAGAAGGCGCAAAAATTACATGATCAACTGAACACATCTTACCTTCTGAATGAGGAAAGAAGAGTCGCTCCAAATCTTGATCATTCAATTTCTCATCAAAAGTGAGAAGCATGTGTCGCGACAACAGAAAAAAATCACGAATATCAAATACGTTGTGCATTCTTTTGGCAAAATCATCGGGCGGCACGCCCACCAGCTGGCTGATCAACTCAATCTTCTCGTCAAAATTGTAACCTGAAATACAAAACAAAATCACAGTTACAGTGGAAATACTTCCATCAAATTTTGAGCCAACAACGTACAAATCTTCAAGATGCTTGGCGCTTCAAAGACTTTCGCTAAAATGGTGCGGTAGTCTCGACTTAAAATATTTTCCAACGCAAGGATGTCGAAAAGGAAGATCTGAGATCGACCAGCGATTTGTAAAATGGAAATCCGCTTTTTGCTACTTCTAGATGTTGACAGCCATTCGCAATCCACGGCAATTGTTGATTTCTGAAGACATTAGGAAAGCATTGACAGATAGAATTCTCGGACGGTCTATCCTGTGTACTGTACCTGTAAAATCACTTCCATCACTTTCCGAAAAGTGGCGGTGTCTTCAATATGAATTACATCTTTTTCTTGTAGCCGTAGCGGGTGAAAAAGGGCAGAATCCATGTTCCTGCAAATGAAAATGTGTGCGAATTCCATATGAAAATCGCGGGAAACTTGACCTATCAACCGAAAGGCATAAACTTACAATTCTGTTCTGTCGGTAATGCCAGCTGAGTTTGCCCAAATTTTCTTCTTCAGTTCTGCAGAAAACTGCTCGAAATCTAGTCGATACTTTGTTAACCAAAAAGCAGCTTCGGTAAGTTTATTCTTTCGCTCCAGGTACAGGACGAACCACTCCCTCAGAGAATCGTGATCCCTTAGCAAAGATTCAACGCGTTCCACGAAGGCCTCAACAGCTGTAAAAAAATGTCCAATTTGAAATAGCTGGGAGAAGTGCGGCTTCATTAAACTTGAATACTCACACATTTGTCGGGAAATGTAAGTTTTGCCGAAAAAGAAATCCAAGGCCAGTTTATGCGCTTGGCATGCTGAACGCCTAGCAACGCGGTCGAAATCAATGTCAAATTCGGTACACCAAAATCTCAACAACTGTGACAATGATTTTTCGGGCCTAACATTGTCTATGGAAACACCACATTCCCTGAATAACAAGGAATGATATAAGTTCAGAAAAAAAAGTTATTCTTATATCTAAACCAACCTGCAACGATCCTCCAGTTCTATAGGCTTCAACAAAATAAGCTCATCCAAGTTTTCAATCACAGCTGGACGGAGTTGCTTGAATCTGCTCAAAAACTGGTATAGAATGTTTTCGGTATCCGGAAGCAAACCCAAGGGAGCGATGACTTTTTCATAAATCCCATACGGAATCTCCAGTCCTGTCATCCACTCGCTCGCCTGAAATATTGAAAACGAGGTCAATAGCCGACCATCACTTGGAAACAACAGGCAAAAAAATATTAGATAACCCAACGAATCGTCATAATAGTAAAAACAAATAATCAAGACCTCGTCAAACAATCTTGAACTTCGCTAATTAATTCTTTAAAATGCGCACGGCACTCCTAAAAAAAAGTAAGAAGTTCAAATCATGCCACTTCAGTATTCGTAAACGTCCTTTGTTTCGAGTTTCTCACCATCACATACTGCCTGGCGCTGAGCAGCGAACATACTTTCTTCTTGTAGAAAGTATTCAGTTCAGCTTCAGGGAGGCTGAAAGCATCGCAAGCCAACACAGACAAACCAGTGAATCTCTCGTCGAAAAACATCTCTACGATTTCGCGCTTCCTTTCCAGGGTAAGCTGCTTGATTTTCGGATGATTTTGATCAACACATACTTTCGTGCGCTGCAGAACCCGTTCTGAAAGATCGAAAGGAAAAAATTAAGAGACTTATATACTTTTTCAATAAAATATCGAAAAAATAGGGAAATGTTAAAAAAATGCATCGGCACTGCAATAAAATAAGCTTAACCCGAGTCCCATGCAAGCAATGCAATTCTTACTGATCAAGTTTTTATCCATGTCTCTGGGTATCACGTTCCTCTCGCCTCGGGTGATGATGAGCAAAGCATTTTCTTGCAAAGTTCCTCGCTGAGATTGCAAAAATTCATCAACAGCATCATCACACTGTTGCTCTGCACCTGCAAATTCAAACAACAAGCTTTAATACGCAATGAAGATAACACAGCTCCGAGATTATGCAGTTGCATATAAATGAGGATTTAAAAAAAACACGAAAATGCTTTTGAGCACAACCTTGAGAGCAATTAATTTCTGTCATTTTTTTAGATTTCTTATCAATTCTATCATCTACAAAAGAAATGAGAGAACAGTAAAATCAATTGTTCGGGGTATTTCAACCAATAATTCCTTGTCTGGGAGGCATTTCTGCACTCCGCTTGACCTTCAAGATTTATAGTTTTTCATACTTTGTTCTTCTGGGACATCTAACATTAATTTCCGAATACTTTTTCGTACAACACTTCATCCCAGAAAAAAAAAATAATAATAAGAAAACCAAAGTATCCTAAAAGAAACTAAATTAACCTAACCTTAATAACCAAACCTATATAACAAACCTGAACTAAACTAGCACAGAAAAAAAATTTCAAGAATTTCATAAGAATAAAACAGAAGGGAAACATTGTTGACATTGCCTAACAAAGAATGACCAACAGAAAGAACGTTCGACTTACCTTGGTTTTTGAGTCCCGTGAAGATCTGGAAGAAACTCCTGAGATTCTCCATTTTGAATCGCACACAAAGTTAGATACGCGAACACATGTCGAATCCTCAAGAAGACATGAAGCGGGAAAATTAAAAATGCAATTAAACCTTCCCCAGACATAACCCGATTCCTTCCTCTTGTCCGTCCAGTGCAGAAAACCGCAACTTGAATAATTAATTGATCGGTATCAAGAAAACAGACCTCGAAATTAGCTTTAGTTCACCAACGGTCGCAAAAAGCTCGTTCGCTCAAGAATAACAAGCAAAAAAAAAAGCGCTGATACATTCTCAAATTGGACGACTTGATTATTCAGCGTTTAGCCCATATTCACTCAACACAAATAACCAGCACAAATTCAACAGATTCAGAGCTTCCTTTTATTGAATGCCTTCAGAGCAGTTATTCGGTTCATTCGCTTTTTCTACAACGATTTAAAAATCGAACAGAAGTAATTTTCGGAACGCCTTCATCCGCACGTATTCTCAATAACTTCTTTAGTACAGGATCGGGACATTTTTTACAAGATAAAGCTCATGTCAGAGTCCGCTTGGAGTAGGTAATCAACAGCGTCATGGATTTGATGCCATGGGAAAGCAGAGTTGAGGTATTTTAAATACAAATATCCATGACACCGTCGAGGTAAGTTTCAAAAATGTTTACACCAATCCCAATGATGCGTCAAACTGGAGATCTATAAATATGCTAATGAAACCAACCAATCTCTTGTAATTTCGAGCAATGTTTTTTGCTATCAAGATCATGCAATCTTATTCCTGAGTCTCCCGAGAATAAATCTGGTGCATTTCTTCACTTCTTGTGCGTTCAAGTCGTTGTGAAAAAATAAACGTGTTGTACTTAAATAGCTATTATTCACTTGGACTAAATGTTCAAGTGCTGATCACATCAGTCAGTTCTGAATAAGAAAATAAAAAATGCTCTTGGCCACGTTCAAATTCCGTTAGAAACTGACGTAAATTTTTATAACCGTTCGCGGTTCCTCATGAGAAATTTTTTCGAGGGATCAAAGTCAAAAGGCACCCGTAAATCTAGAATCTTCAAGGGGAAAAAACAACGCCGATAAAAACGAACAAGGTCATCTGACCTACTGTAAATGAAAGAACATATTCAACAACAAAAAATTGCGTCGTTTAAGGTAATTGGTCGGTATCTGTCAGTACCACAGACAACGACGGAGAATTTCAGGTATTTCAGGTGGTCGAGAAATACGATTCGAAAATGTTTTTGAAATCAGTCTCCATGTCTTCGGCTTTCGCTGCAACAGCAAGATAAATTTCCACCAGGCAAAAAGCATCCAACGCTGCAAAAAAATCGAATTAATTTACAGTATTTCTCGTTCTTCTCACCTCGTCTTTTATTTTCTTTGATTCTCCTCGAAAAATCATCATTGATTACATTGTTTATCCAGATTACCTTACAGGTACTGTACTGGTACACATGTACTCAGTTTTGTGAGTCAACGAAAAATCATCATTGGTAGACATTTCTTACTGCAGCTCGTTTTTTTTTTTGGTTCCATTCAATGAGGGGATTGATTCGAAAATTGCGTGGCTTCTTTCTTGAGTAAATCTTGAAATTTTTCTGAAATTTTATTGCTGAGAAAGCCACATACAATGAAGAAATGCGCCGCTTCCTGCTAAAAATTCATCTTATCTCATAACGCTCACAAATTAAGATTATTTCTCCGCTGGTAATTGGGCCTAACTTTCTTTTTATCGCAGGCAACGAAAAATGTCCTAATTTATTCAACTATTTGTAGTGCGCCAATAGTGACGCAAAAAAAAAGTGGCTGAAACACAAAACCTCGCGGGAGAGCCCCTTGACGTGGACTGGTTGAAATGAAGCATACATTTATTTAACTCGTTCGAAGTCACACTCTTATATTGTAGCTACAAAGTGCTCACCAGCATATCGCATCTGCTCACGGCGGAGCGGTCTCCTCTCCCAGTCTGACATGCATTCTCGCTTATCTAGAGGCTTTCCCAGCACAGCCTTGACAACTGCCGCCAACCCAGTCACGGGCTTACCAGTACCGCTGTTCTTGGCCTCTTTTTAAATAAAAAAAATTACAACCGAAATATCAAAACTTCAGACTTAAAAACGATGCTGATTAAAGGTCCATTCAAAAAGAGGGCGATAATTATAGATTTCGAAGAAGAAAAATGGTGCAAGTACGAAGAAGCCTTTTTCAATAAGCAATTTAACAACATATCCTCCTACGTTTGTTTCCTGGCGACGAATTTTTTCCACCCGCTTGATTCAGCAGATTACGTTTTGCGAGACTGTGGAACGTTTCCAAGTCAAAAATGTTTTTCGACTCGCTGGCGATGTATGCGCGCGGTGCACAAAGCAGATCCAACATTTCCGTATCCGAGTTGAAGTCATAACCTATGCATTGAAAAACCATCGTCAATCTCCAAAAGATTGAGGTATTTACGCATTTTATCTTACAAATCTTCATAACTGTTGAAGAACTGAAAAACTTCACAAGGGGCACTCCGTCTTCACCACTTATCAATGGTTTCAGCTTTAGCATATCGAAAAGAAAGACTTCCTTTTCCGTAGCAATCTGAATGATTGACAGTAGCTTTTTGTTATTTACTGATGTTGACAGCCATTCGCAATCGAGTCCAACCATCTTTTTCTGAAGCAATGAGAAATATTAATTTTCATGAACACAGAGACGCCATATTCAATATTCACCTCGAGTAGAATTTTCATCACGTTTCGATACGTAGAAATATCTCCCACAAAAAATATGTTTTCCTCTCCAATCCTCAAAGTGTGGAAAAGGGACGGATCAACGGCTCTGCAAAACATCAATTCCAAGAACTGTTGACGAAAAAAGTTGAGTAGGTTCATCGCTCACAACTGCTTCCTGTCCGAAACTCCCAAGTCACCCATGTTAATCTTCTGCCGAATTTGAGGCGAATACGATTCGGGACTTAAAGACACTCTATCAGCCCAGAAAGATGCTTCAGAAATCTTGCCACTTCCTTCCAGGAAACGCACAAACCAAGACGAAAGTGTGTAGTTATTGCAAAGCATTCTATCCACACGCTCGACGAAGGCATCAATTGCTGAAAGAAATGAAGGCAAAGATTATAAGTTGAACACAGATAATATCGGCGAATATGTTCTACAATAGATAACGCAGGTGGACTCTCTCTACGATGATATTGTCTACAACAATTTTTTTCTTAAAAGAATTTTTTGGTCCCATTTAGGGTTCTCTCCTCATGTTATAGGGGTTTACTACAACGAAATCCTCTCAATAACGAAGTTTTCTTCAGATCCCTCGGATTTAGTTGTAGAAAAGCCTTATGACATGGAGAGAGAATCCTCAACGATCAAATTAAAAAAATTCATGTTATAGGGGTTTACTACAACGAAATCCTCTCAATAACGAAGTTTTCTTCAGATCCCTCGGATTTAGTTGTAGAAAAGCCTTATGACATGGAGAGAGAATCCTCAACGATCAAATTAAAAAAAATATTTATAAAGCGAAAATCGTCGTAGACGAAATTCACGGGACCAGAAAAACTGGGTAATTGAGAGAATTTTTTTTTACAGAGTGTCCACTTGCATTACTGTAATACGCATACAGTACAATTTACACTGATCAGTTATGTCGGTTATGCCAAGACCGCAAAGAATCAAGCAAATGCTTAGAAATTACGCAGAAGATCGACGGGACCAAAGATACTATTTATACTGTACCTTTGAATTAATGCACAGAACACTAACATCTTAGCAACAAAAACAAAAGTGGGTCACAAAAAAATATTGATACTCACACAAAGCTTTTGAACGGTAAGTGGCATGGACCAAAAACCGCAGGTCTTGACGACGAGTGTCGACATAGCTGTGAGGCGCATATCGCTCTTCATCAAGGCCATACAAGGTACACCACCTTCGGATGCTTTTCGTAAGGCTGCCTTTCTGACGAAGTTGTTTCTTACTTATTCCATACTTCCTGAAAGATAACTTTTAACATTTTAATATCCGACAGGGTCTTTCCAATTTTTTTTAATCACATGCCACCTATAGTAGGAAGCGGTCTCGTTTCTCTCCATTTCCTTATTTTTTAATCCCTTAGGCTACCACAAAATGAACAGGATTTATATAAGTGAAAGTAACAAACTGGATTTTACCAACTTAGAACTTATTCCGGCCTTTCTGCTGGGAATTCGCATGGGTTGATCTCTGCTTTGATATCCCAAAAATGCACTTCATTGAAAATATTTTAGGCTAGCTCAGAAACTTAACATGATCTCGGAATCGTGATGGAAAAGATGAGGACGGATTAAGGATATACTTAATTTCGGTTTTAAAAATTCTCACTGTAGAGCTCTTTTTAATGAAGTGAAATTTCGAATGGATGTGACAGGTCAAGTGGATATCGCTCCCCTTTCAATTTAAAAATGTATCACAGATGCAAAGATTCCTTTGTTAACCTGGTTCGCGGAGGAACACAAAAATGTCCTTGAAACGAATCAATGCACAAGAAAATATAACAACGGTTAGATCACTTAGATGCGTTCTTTCAATACTGTGAAGGTGAACTCTCGGACGGAAAAAAGTGACCAACCTACCGCGATATGCTCCACAAAAAAAACTTTCCTGGTCAACAGATACCTTCTCTCAATGCATACGCTAAAACGCCGTGCTATAGAAAGATATTTCTTGAGAAGCTTTATTGATTATCTCAATATCGTCGTATTTAAACACCGGGCGAGTCAAGGAGACAACAAATACTGTATAACGAAAATTAGGATTTGGAGGTCGAAACGAACACTTACGCACACACGTGGATATACCGTCCGGGTGGAAAATCGACCATTTTGTCCAAATGCTCAATTGAGAAATAAGAGTTCGAAAGTGAGCACAGTTCTTCGAAGAAATTTTAGTACAGGTTCAAGCATACATCAGGATAACCATTCTCATCGCCGAGTATGTCCGCAAGCCCCTCCAAGTTAAGCCATCAGGTATATACAGCCTACATAAGAAACCAAGGAGATAAGACAAATCATCGTCGTTTCAGCAATTAAAAAAAATGTATTCAAACTCACCGATAAGTAATCTTCATCTTGAATCATTCTTGTGACTTCCGATTCGTAAAATGACAACAGCCTCTCGTCCGGAAGAGAAAACGCAAGACAAACCAACCGAATTATTTGCTGAAAATGCTTCACGGCAAACAAAGCAAATACATCCTTCTTGCGCGATGATGAAATCGGATGAATTCTTGGATGTTTAGCAGACTTGTGAAACTTCAACCGATTGAGGATCAAACCTGAAATTTACAAATATTTTGGACATGAAATGAAATGTCCACTTAAACAAAATAATTATTTGTCAGAATTTAGAAGCTGCTCCACCGAGCCCCGAACACTTTCTTCAGTATAAAAAGGAAAAATAAAGAAAATCGCCCATACTCACTTATCAAGTTCATGTTCATCACCGGATCGCATCTGATACTTCGCTCATGTCCCCTACACAGAATAAATAACGCGTTTTCCAGCAAATTATCCGGTAAATCGAAGAGAATCGCGTCCACTTCCGACGAAAGCTGTTTTGCATCTAATAAAAAATTAAAATGACCAAGTAATATGAATCCAACTAAAAAAATATAATGAACGCTCACCTTGAGAGTAGTTTCTCAGAAAACTGTTCAATCGCTCCTGCGCATTGTTGAAAGTTTGCAGTGCACGGGCTTCATTCATTGTACAGTACTTTTCTACGGAGCACTACGTTTTCACTCAGTTCTATAAGAAAGGCACTAAGTTGGCATTCTAATTAAAAAAAACAAATAAAACGTGAACACAAGATAGTGAGTCCCAGCTATAAGAATTATTTCTTAGTTCATGGCAACGAATTTCTTGGAGGAAAATTTCCCATTTTTTCAAACCCTAAAATCCAAGACTGAAGAACGATATCCGTAATTTGAGCGAACAGGTGAAAAAATTATGATCTTCACAGCAGACAAAAATTATTCGCGCGGCAAAGACCAAAACGAGGTAATGAAGAAGGAAATGATAACATAAATCCAAAAAGACTTAAATTCAAATATAACATTGAATTGGACAATGAAAACAAAAATTGTAAAAAGTCGTAATCTCGTAAATCAACAAAATGCAGTAATTTATTTGAAATCACGATAGAAAATTAATTCTTGTCTTAAATTGAATTTTCTCATAATTTCATGCATCAAGAACTCAAGGTTTGCCTTGATTTTTCCGACAACGAATAACTGATCGTGATCTTCGGGTTGCAAACGAAACAGTTCAGCGTGGGTTTTCTGCTTCACACGAGATTCCAGTTGCGTGAAATTGTTGATGACTCTCCTTAGTTTTGAAAGTACATTACTTAAGCGTGTTTCGCTATTCGACGAATCTAAACGGAACATAATCACGATTAAAGAAGTGTCGAAGGACCGCAGTGAAGTATACAGGATTTCTGATTTCCAAGCACAGTGGACTTCTCCAGATTTTCAACACATTATTTCATAGGAAAATTTAGATTCTGAGCTCTAGAACCAAGAGGATAGTCTGAATGATTTTCTTTAAAGACATTTTACGCAGCCAATTTTAATCCGATCTTCCAAATGACAGTATCAAGTCAGCCGCCAGGACATTGCCCATCAATATTTCATAAATGTTTTTATTTTAGTAACGAAATCTCGAAGTGATGATCTCTGATGAACGCTTACAATTTCCGGAAACGTCAAAAAGGGCAGTTGAAAGATTGAACCCAAACCCTATCCAGCCACGCCAAAAAATCAAGAAATAATCGCCTTTGGTACAGAAAATTGGAACGCGGGGATTTAAAGTGAAGAACTAAAATTCAAAAAGCAAAAATTAGGAGTTGTGGAATATGCCAAATCTCGGGTCAAGGAAGATACAAAAGTTGTCATTATTGAGCAAAATAGGCCCAAAAAAGATGCAAAAAATCTATCAGCAAAAATTATTCAACTGCGAAGATACCCCTCGGAAATCAGACAGCCCATGCATCTGAAACTCAATCCAATCCTTACATCGATCCCGTTTAACACACTGCAGTTCAGATAAGAATTGGTGAATCGGTACCAAGGGAGCGGATCTCTGAATCATTGGGAGCACCAATTGGCAACCAACATTAGCAAGAAGCTCATTCGCTTCACAAAGTGCATCATCAGGTTCCATGCACCGGAATTCCCGCGGGGCTTTTTCATCATGCCAAGTCGGAACTTCCTCAGTATCCCATATTTCACACAATCGCTGCTCGGGCTTCTTCCGACTCCTCGCGGAAGAATAAGTTTTATTCTTCACGAAGCAAGGAGTATAAACTTCCACAGAATCCTCGCCATCATCTAATACGCTTGATTCCTGCAACAAGTGCGAGACGAAACCCGTGGTCATCAACGTAACATTCTTAGTACAGTACAGTACTGTATTACTCGAAAACAATTTTACAAAATGAAAATAATCACAGACCTTAATCGGGATCATGTACATTACGTTATCAACCAAAATGGCTGTGTTTAGCACGGGACAATAGATAAGGTGTGAAAATCCTGACCAATCGACATCATAACAATGTATAACTGGGGATTACCTGTTCAGACAAATCCCAAATTGTTCCATCAGACCACAATGAAATTAAAATGGCTTACAATACGTAACCGCACACAACCAAACTGGACTTCAACCTAGCATTATTTAAAGCCTTACTAGTACGGAAAGAACGGTTATATTTAATCAATTCCTGGCTATTATTTCAATTTTGCAATACCCAGGCGGAAATGAAAGTTGAACGTTTATCGCATCAATGCGTTAAGTTCGGTTCAAAAGCCACATTTTCACGTTGCCCAAATTTTCTCGTCATTGAACCCACAGCGGTTTCTAGGATTCCGACTCGAAGTGGGGAACTGAAAAACTTAATTTCAAAGTCTCAATGAATTGCTTAAACAAATCCTCGTACTTCAAAAAATGCTGGGAGAAACTCACGACAGCTTTTCAGTCGAATGTAATTTCAAGGTATTCTAGATATAATATGCTTGACTGCTACGAGTAATGAATTAAGATCCGATAACAAATTAGTAATTTGATATCAGTGATACCCAGCTAAAATCAAGCATCTGCAGAAGGTTATGAACAACTTGGAAATTGTGCTAGAGGCGGAAATTCGTCAAAGTTCCGCTCGACTCTCACAATAAATAAACGAGTTCAGCTATCACGAAAAATAAACTTATCAGATTTACGTCACTTAGTGCAGCGAGAATTAAATTACTGATATTTTATCTTGTCTTGGAGGCTCTCAAAAATCTCCGATACAAAAATGGAAAATCTTGATAGATGTACCATTGATTTCCACCAAAAATTACCTTGACACATTCAAAAGAAGCATTCCTCCGAACTTTGACACAGAACCGCGCTTGATCCCGCCATTCACCAGAAACCTCCAATGTGATATTTCCCTTCGGTTCTCCAGCGGGCAATCCCGAAGCGTCTTCAATGTTAATCTCGCCTACTCCTGAACAATGAACAATCAGGCTCTCCAGATTTATTGGAGCTTGAATGATGGTGGCCTGATGCAATGGAGGTGGAACATCATCTGGGCGGTAAGAACCCGCCTTTGAATTCCACGTCACAACCAAGTTATCGGGTAGCTTGATCATTTTAGGATCAATCAGCATCAACCTAAGCAACGTAAGTTCATCGTCATCTTCATCGCTAGACTCGAAGCATTCGTCCAACATTTCTTCGCTATGCAGTTTTTGCCACGCTGATGCCGATTCAGTGGTAGCAGACATTATTAAACTTTCACAACTTTCACAAGTCCTTACGAATCAAAAATTCACAAGAAGTAGGGCCCAATTTAGCAAGAATAACCGAATGAAGCTAGGAAAATTTTGAATACTCCAACGGTAATCCTTCTCGCGTCATAATGTTGGGGAATAGACGATGCGAGAAACTACTAGTGACTCATCAACACTCATCGAAATATGTATTCTTATAACAAAAAATTGCTTAGAAGCCGGAGAAAAAAATGACAGAAATTCTGCACGATGTTGCAAAAGAACGCACGTAAGAGCAAACTACCGTTAACTCGCTAAAAATTCGACAGCTTCGCCGCTTTTCTTCTGCAGCGCATTTTCCTTCAGAGATTGCAAAAACTCTTCTCGTTCACGCATGAATGAAAGCTCGTCTTCATCAGTGCTCTCATCGGGTTCGTCGGAATCGATGCGAACATTGGTACGATGGGGAAAACTGCTAGGTGTGTCAGCATTCGGGCAACGTTGTCCGGGCACAGGAATCATGCGAATTTTTTGATGTGGAATTGGTTTCGCGCGCGAAACGGGCCAGCAGGTGCCAAAATCGATGGGCATATCAGGAAACCGTTCATACTCAGAATACTCCCCACTAGAATTTGTATCGTATTTTCACGCGATTTTAGTCAAACCTAAAATAATTTTTGAGAACTCTCACACAACTTCATAGTCGCTAACACTAGGCTAACCCCTCCACGAAAAGTTCATTAGGAGTCATAGGACGTGTGCCCTTAGTTCTTTAAGTAAAAAGCTCACTTTTGACTTTTTAAAGCATAGTGAGTTTTATATCGGGTTAAATTCATACTGATCGCGAATTTTACATCGGGAGTCGAGACGGACCTTTCGAAGTTGTATCATTAATGTTCTATTGCTGAACCCACAATGGTTTTGAGGATCCGGACTCAAACTTGGAAACACAAGTAATCGAATTTCCACGTCGTGACAAATTGTTCAACCAAACCCTCATAATTTAGGAAATGATGTGATAAACTCACGACAGCTGTCTCAGTCGATAAGCCGACATTGAATTCTTCAGCCCATTCGACGATAACCTTCCCATCACAGAACGGTAGCTCTGCTAGACTCAAGTTTTTCTTCGCCAAAGCAGCTGCTTCGAAGGTTTCGAAATCAAGGTAATAAAGCCGTGCGATTCCCACCGTGGAGTTGCGAACCAGCACGCTCGTTTGAAGTATCAGCGATTGTGATCCGATTGGGGAGGTGCTTTTCAAGTAATCCTCAGTATCCTGCACACGGGAATCAAGAAATTCATTTTTCGAGTGAAAACTGAAAAATTTCGTATCACTCAAAATAGTCGGGTTAAATTCATACTGATCGCGAATTTTACATCGGGAGTCGAGACGGACCTTTCGAAGTTGAATCATTAATGTTCTATTGCTGAACCCACAATGGTTTTGAGGATCCGGACTCAAACTTGGAAACACAAGTAATCGAATTTCCACCTCGTGACAAATTGTTCAACCAAACCCTCATAATTTAGGAAATGATGTGATAAACTCACGACAGCTGTCTCAGTCGATAAGCCGACATTGAATTCTTCAGCCCATTCGACGATAACCTTGCCATCACAGAACGGTAGCTCTGCTAGACTCAAGTTTTTCTTCGCCAAAGCAGCTGCTTCGAAGGTTTCGAAATCAAGGTAATAAAGCCGTGCGATTCCCACCGTGGAGTTGCGAACCAGCACGCTCGACAAACCATCTGTGAAAAAAGACGTTCTAGTACAGACATATTTACGGGGTCAGCCAGAAATCTCGCGCAAACCGATCACTTGAGTTAATTCCTTGAAGAGATCGTCAGCCGTTAAATGATGAACAAGGTTGCGGATCAACAGGCAATTTCGAGCACCCAACGAATGCATCGAATTCGATCCGGTCATATTGTCATTAATACTCAATTCGAAAGAAGGGAAAACTCGAAAATTATTACGGGGAGAAAATTTTCTGTTAACATGTGGAGATTAATGCGGGAATTCCTGGAATAACGAGTCGGAGATCATGGAAGGCCCCAAAGCGGGAACGCTGAGAATCTTCTCACCACGAGAGGGTTTGAACGGAAATCCTCCCACGCGACAAGGGATTGACCAACTTTAAACTATGTACTGTACATGGCTTCTTCCGCCGAATCAGGAATTTATTCTTTAATTCAATTTCAAGGAACGATGACGGAATGCTCTGCGTTCTTGAGGGCAAATAAATCGAGAGAATCTAACACATAACCGGCATTTAAATAAAAAACATGATTCTCGAACAATCCCAAAAACGAGATGAACACTCACGAATTCTTCCATCTTTTCCGCGGTGAAAAGTGAGCACGATCTTGATTTTAAAGTGCTAGAAAACGTTGGTAAAAAAAATCTGGCATTAATAAAATTAACAGATTCAGTTACAAATGGAACTTGAAGAAAATTTTGACGCAATGCGTATTCATTGACATATCAGCATTTTATGACCACGATCAATCCACTTATACCCNAACGATGACGGAATGCTCTGCGTTCTTGGGGGCAAATAAATCGAGAGAATCTAACACATAACCGGCATTTAAATAAAAAACATGATTCTCGAACAATCCCAAAAACGAGATTAACACTCACGAATTCTTCCATCTTTCCCGCGGTGAAAAGTGAGCACGATCTTGATTTTCAAGTGCTAGAAAACGTTGGTAAAAAAAATCTGGCATTAATAAAATTAACAGATTCAGTTACAAATGGAACTTGAAGAAAATTTTGACGCAATGCGTATTCATTGACATATCAGCATTTTATGACCACGATCAATCCACTTATACCCAAAATTGTATTTTATGAAGATGGAAATTTCTCCGAAAATTACACGAGTCTCCCAGAGAAGGAGGAAAGCCGCATACCAGCATCGTCGATCACCCATCATAACGGTTCATACAGAAGTCTATACTTTGAAACATAAATACGATTCTAAACCTTCTGCAGCATTTCAGGAACTGCCTTGAACAAATCAGCCACTAGGCCGAAATCCGCAACCTGAAATCCAGAAAATAATTTAATCTCAAGTCGGGCAGAATGATTTTTCACGGATTACCTGAAATATTGGGGCCTCCGGGTCCTTATTTATGGCGACGATTGTTTTCGAATCCTTCATTCCTGCCAAATGCTGAATGGCGCCGGAAATCCCAACGGCGATGTACAACTCCTGTCCACGAGAAATGCAATATTGTGATATCAAATAATTTAAAGAATTTACTGATCCTGAAATACTGTATAGAAATATCATCCTTTTTCCTAATAAAAAATGCCATTGAATAGCAAAACACGTACGTAAATACGATGGGTGTCTGAATCTGCCTCGTTGTGAGCTTTCTCTTCACAAATTATTACAGTACGACACTTGAGTTGATCAGATTATTCTAGGAAAATTTCTTATCTTTCCCATCGCTTTTTTAATTTTCCACCCAAGCATTTCTTCAACATAAATGATGTAACTCATGCAAATGAGAAAAAAAAAACTCGGGCACGATTGCAAAACCAATGTCCCCGTCTATTCAAGCTAACATTCGAAGTTGATGATCTTCAGCAATATCCTGCAAGGTACAGGTGCTATAAAAAGTTCCAAAAATTAACCTATACCTTCTCGATTACAGTAATTAAAAATATAATTATCGAAGGTTTGCTTATAAGGAAGATATGAAGCATGACGTTAAAATTTAGACTATTAAAAGAGGGCCAAAATCTGCTTGTGTAATCTAGAATGCTTCCGACATCGGATGAAAAATGCTGAAAAATATGCCCAAATTGACGGAATATACGTCCAAGTTCATTTTGGTGCCAAAGAAAAACATTCGTCATAAAATTCGTTAAATTTTGGTACATTTTATCGATTTGTGCTCAATTTTCCCTCGTCTTACATGGTAAATAAAATCAACGTCACTCACGGGTGCCACGATTTTTCCAGTTTGACCAACTTGCATGTCATTCGGAACAAAACCGGCATCCACAGCTGCTCGTGATGCACCAACTGCAGCTCCTCCAATCTTATCAGCAAGATCGTAAAGCATCTGAAAGTTTTCTCCATTTTTCATACCTCGACCTGGATTTCAAACATCATTTGACCAAGATTAACATCCAAAGGAAATCAAGCCGAGGGTTTTCATCGCGCTCACCTCCGCTGATGACTATTTTCGCTCCGGCAAGTTCGGGTCTGCCGCTTTTGTGGATTTCACTCTTAACGTAAGAAGATGATTTCGATGCGTAGTCTCCACTCGGACAGTCTTCCTTCGCTGCGGATCCTCCTTCGGAAGCAGCTGCTTCAAAGGCGGTTCCACGAACACTAACCACCTTTACCGGATCCAAACTCTGCAGAGTTTGCACAGCATTCCCGGCATATATTGTTCGAACGAAGGTGTCCGGAGATTTGACGGCAACGATGTCGGATATTGGGTTAACATCCAACTTCGCAGCAATTCTATTGAAAAAAAATGTATTGTCGCAAAAGATCGAAATTTAATTCTCGCGGATATACCGAACAAAATATTTTCATGAGGATTCAATCACACAATCGCTGGAATCCATGCACTTGGTTGTGATCTGATTACTTCATGATTGAAGATGACCGGTATATCATTGTGGTTCCCGAAAAATGATCCACTCTTTACAGCAGCTATGTGGTTCAGAAAAGAATTTGACTTCGATTAATTTCAATCGAATAAGGCTTAAAACGGTGACGAACACAAGGAGGGGCAAGAATAAATGTTAGAACTTCACAAAAAGTTGAAGACCGTATGGAAAGCACACGCAACTTGAGCAGTACGAAGTGCGATGTCCTTCCTTTAAATAGAAAGTATGATGTTCAGGCCTTCATAAAATGTGAGTTCCCTGCGAACAAAATCCAGCTAGGCTCTGAACACACCCTTCGGCTTCAATAATTTCACGAACTATTAGCCGGAATACTCAAAATAACTTATTTTTTTCCTTCCCGGACATAGAAAGGTTGAGAAAAAGTTCCCCACATCAAGCACTGAAAGTAGCGATAATGTTTTATGGATTCCGGAATTAATTACAAAACTAAAACTAAACAATGGCTAACAAACCTTGGCAATATTCCCTTGCCAAACGTACTCGCTCCGCAGAGAATGTGCGTGAATTTGAACTGGTTTTGACACGCAAGTACTAATGGAGTTAAACTTTCCGGTAAGAATCCCTTGAACGCTGGCCCATCAGCAACCATCAATTTCTTCACGTCAGCAATTTTACTGACCTGATCTACCACCTTTGGAATTAAAAATTTACAGCAATAAAAATTTGAAAAAACGCTTGCGAAATTTCATTAATTAAGTTGCATACCGGACCACAACCATCACCAGCAACAAGACAGGTAACTTCTTGACCAAGCTGTTTAGCAGCGGTGATAGTGTTCAAGGTAATCGCACTCAACGCAGCGTTGTCATGTTCGGCAATCACCAAAGTACCTTGGAATCGTTTTGCTGAAGCTGTTGATCCCTATAAAAAAAATTTATTACTACAAATAAAATGAATCAAAATCGTAAAAACTCACCCGGACAGAGAGAACACGAGAAATTGTGCTTCGGCACAACATTTCTGAAGCCAGAAAAATAGATAACCTGAAAATTTTTCCTGCGAAAAAAAAAACAGCTGATATTGTATTATTAACGCAGTTTAATAAGACCCATAAACAAACGCAGAATCCAGTCATTTCAATATTTCAGGCGCCAAGTCCAGTGTAATACGATTCGTCACGATCAAAACAAAATTCAGCCATCGAGTATGTATTTCTATGACACATAAAAAAAAGAAAATGAAGACGTTCCCGTTGTCGATCAAAAATACGGTCAATAGATATCTCACATTCTTTTACACAAAGCACGATACCCTAATGCAAAAATAATAAAGAAAACTAATTCTGAGAAAGTCTCAAAATCGTGAGCGGGTTATTCGATCACTGCCTTTCTGCGATTCGTATCACCATTCCTGCAACAAAACTTCGAACATAAAACGTTGAAATATTCCCACGTCAGAAACACCAACTCCAGAAGACGGATAGATCATTTGTTTTCGATCGGCTTGAACATCTTTCCATAAAAGACAACTTACTTCTCACACTTTCGGAAGGGATACGTCGTGGTCGAAGTCGGGTGAATCCCTTTATTTGCCTGAAAAAATGTAACCATCTTTGAATTAATTGCCTCCTTCACAAATTATACTGTACTGATCAACTTCAAAAAACGCGCTCTTGTATAAAACTCGCACCACCTTCTTTTTCTTTTAGCTGAAAAATCAGGTAAAAACGGATACTGTACCTGCATAAGACGAACGTTGAGAAATATTTAAAATCTGAGAATTATAACTGTTATATTTATCAATTTATCTTCAAATAAAATTAAAAATTAAATTGAATTGAATTTGCTAATCTTTAATAATCCATATGTAATGCGATTCAAGGATAATGAACCCAAACATTTCTGCAAGTAAAAAAAAATTTTTTTTACTGAGCTTGGATATGACATGCACATCACTTTTGGCCCTGGTTTCTGGGAGGTACGTTTGCAGGGTACAAGAATATTGTATTCATGCAGTAAAAAAATTTTTATAGTCTTCGTAGTCTAATGTCTGGTTAATATTGAAGAGCAACAATATCGTTTTCTTCTTTACCTTTGCAGCGGCTGGTAATTTTTTCTTTGTAATTTACCCCAATTTTTAATCTAAGTTTATGATGAAAAATGCAACTGTAGTGATGGCTAAAATTTTCACTCGTACTTTTCGGAAATTCCAAGGTATCCTCGATTAGAATTTCTGCCTTTTGATAATTTCACTTATATTAGACTGTTACAATTTGTTCATTTTATGGGTGAAAGTCGGAAGAATCCGCAATTCAACCGTTCGGATTCCAACTGGCCGCATCCCCTCTCCTCCTAGTCAGTTACATTATAGATCCTTCTGACCTTCACCCAGTAATTCAACAGATCACAAGAGTTCGATAAATTTTAAAAAATGATCACAATTTTTTTTTAATATCATTATCAAAATGTGATGCACGAATGCGAAAAGTAGATGAAAGAAATTTCAGGAAAAACTCGAAGAGCACGAGAAAGTTATTTACTTCACGGTTTTTGTTATCTGCGTCATTCATGGAATAAATAATGGATCAGAAAATGACGAACCGTTGGCAACATCGGAAAAATCCACTAGCGAAGAGGGATACCGCAGCTTCTTCCGACCAGCTTGAACAAGGACTCAACATAACCAAGTTGGCTTTTTGCGGATCCAGATGGGACGCAAAGAGTCAAATTTGGATGTATTCCCATTTTAATCTGAAAAGGTAAATAAATTTTAGCAGAACAAAATTTCGATACAAAGTGATAGCTAGTCGAAAATATATAGGTAATTCCGTCACAATTTTGTTGCTGGTACTCACCCAATTGTAATTCGCAAGACCATCGTGAAGCAAAATCCGACATTGTTTGACGCAATCGGGTACAAATCGCCCAAAATCAACAGGGAGAAGGACAACATCATAGCCTTTCCTTTCAAGTTCCTTGGCTGAGAGGAAGAGCACGATTTGAATGCATCGAAATTGAACTATTGGCAGTACAATTTTAATATTAAACTTACCTAACCCAGTCAAAGCTGAGAATAGCGCAAAGCGTCCGCTCGGTAATTTAACGGGAAGACTGAACACCACGATGATTTCTCTAAACTGATCCTCAGTTTCAACGGCATTCACTTTATACTGGAATTTATGCGTCGACTTCTACAAAAATACGGGATCTTGGTAATAAAAGCAAGAATTAGAGATTCGTCGGACCCACCTTCATAGACAAGAGGATATGCATTTTCCCAGAACTAGCTTGTTTAGCTCCAGCAAGCTCTTCTGATACTCCCAGTGACTGCAAACGACAAGCTGTAAAAAACAAATTTGCTTACACAAGAACACGTTCAAATATAGGTCATAAGATGAGAGGAGCACGTAATCAAATGTTTCTCAGTAGAACCCACAGCTCACACAAACTTTTACGTGACCCAGCGAAGAATACTGTACTTTCTAGCATTTAGTGAAGCTTATGCAGTAATAAAACTGTCGGTCATTTTTTTTCTACTGTTACCCACCCAATTGCGTGACGGTATCGTCGCAGATGAACACATATTTCGGAAAATGTGATACGGTAGAAGTAGTAGCATTCGTAGACGAAAGCAGCACGCCTTTCTCAGTTGTCGATTTTCTCGAAGCTGTCTCGGAAGATACAGTTTTCTCTTCACGACGAGGCTGGAATTTAAAAACGAGGGATCCACATAAAAAGAATGAAACGTGAGGTTTATCGTTATCAATAGCTTTCAAGTCATACTTTTTGGATCGTATAAGGTAAACATGCATCTTATTGATGCGGAAATACAACTAAACGTCTGAGAATAGGTTGTAAATACCGTTCACGTAAATAATCAAACCAATCTTCGGCACAACACATCGGAAAGCAATTCTCGTATGACGTGAAGTCGGCAGGGAGAGAAAATGCATAGTCCACCAAGATTGAAAAAGTGTCTTACGTGTGAGACATGAATCTTCTGGTGACATGAGCGGCAAAATTTAGCGATTTCCTTCAAGCCTTCTTCAATACGCTGTGGTGGGTGTAAACATCCATAAATTCCAACTTGACTTGAGAACTGAAAAATGTCAATCGAATAAACTATATACAGTAACCGGAATTTTCTCTTCGCGTGATATACTTGCCTTTTCAAAAACCTTGCCTGCGGTCAAAATGATTCTTCCTTCCTTTTGATGATATTCCATGCATTTGGAATGAGGCTCGCCATTCCTGAGTATTTTGCAGTTGGCTCCCATGGAAACAAGCTTATGCCCTACCGTGACAATTTTTAAAGAATACATTTCGCGCACAAGAAAACGGGTCTCGGAGGTAGAGTAAACTTGTACCATCATTCAAACGAAGTTATTTACATTGGACAGTAATTGAATTTTGCTGAATTTAGAGAAACGTTTCTTCTATTTGATGAATGGTAGGTACATTTTCGTTACTCGAGAGACCTATCTGCTATTTTCTTCAAGGAAAATTAACAAAAATCGGAGTTATGCACCCATGCTTACTTTTTTTAAGTTCGGGAAGTCGAAAGAAATTCAACAATCTTTAAAAGATATACTATAGAATACAATGTCAAGCAGCACCAAAAGGGCACTGCCTATGACTGTCAAATAACAGGTGCTACTGAATAATTCATGTCGTAGGTGCTACTAAATAATTTCGTGATAAATAATTCGTACCCAATCCTTGGAACATGGTATCAGCCACAAACTTCAGTCCTCGTATAAGGTTCCAGTCAGCCGCAGATACACAGCTCCACTCATCATGACCAAGAAGATTAGACGGACCAGCAACACTCGGGGCGTTTTGGACATGTTTTTTTTGTTGGACGGCAGGTTTCTTCGAGCTAGCTTTCTTTGTCGGCTTTGTCGTCGGCTTGATAATCACAGATGATCCTTTTTCATTTGTTCTTTGCACGATCTGTGAAGAATTTATTTATCTCAGAGGTTGTCAATGATTTCTGAAAATTCCTCAACTACATAACATATTTAAGTACCTCACGCACGAAAAAAAACCATTATCTGCATGATGTGACATCAGTACGGATCCTTTTTTTTTCAATTTCAATATCTAGCACTCTTGATAAAAAAAAGAACGGGCCTCACCCGTGAAATTTGGTGTTTCTTGAAGTATCCGCGGCAAAATTTAGCGACCGTCCCCAAACCTTTTGCAATGCCCTGTGGGAGTCGTAAACATCTATCGCTTCCAACTCGACCTACGAACTGAATGGCATTATTAGATTAAAAATTCGGGAATTCACTTTCACGGGATGAACTTGCCTGTTCAAAAGCCTTGCCTGTGGTTAAAATAATACGCCCTTCCTTTTCAAGATATTCCAGGCATTTGGAATGAGGCTCGCCATGTTCGAGGATTTTGCAGTCGGCACCCATAGAAAAAAGCTCATGTCCTGGGGATGAATATGTACATCGTCAATGAATTTAAAATTTACTGCTTCAATTGAAATCGCAGATTAATTTTGGAGAGAAAGACACAGATCCACTTCAGACCTGATTTTCTACTTTCTCCCATAATCGGATCAACAAAGCTTGGCCAGGAAGACATTAATCTTGAATTATATATGACTGCCTGACCGGTTAGACGGGGTAAGAAGACTGAAAATAAAAAATGGAGAATATGAGAGAATCTTTTTCCCACGAATTCCCATTACGAAACAAAAGATTTGAGAAACTCCCATTATCGTACCGTTTTCAATTATTCAAAGTTGATTAATTTCAAATGTCGTATGTTTTACGCATTTTTGTCAACGTAGCGATCAAGGGCTGGTGAAGAACTGTACCTAATCCTCTCAACATGGTATCCGCCACGAACTTCAGTCCTTGCCACTGGTTCAGATCAGATGCTGGTGAATCAATACGATTTACAAAAACGGATGTGTCTTCAGCGACAACATTCATTGCAGACGCAACCGCTTCCTCGGTTGACTTCGTCGACAGTTTGATGCCCGTAGGGGAGACTTGTGCCTTTGTAACAGGAACGATTTTTTCAAAACAGAGGTTATTAGAGCTTTGTTTGGATCAGTGATCTTCGTGAGAGAAGAAGAGCAAATATTGTACGAAACTACGAACAAATGTTGGAAATCCGTTCACTGCATCACGAGAAATTAACCTCGAAAATTCTCTTTTAATTTTTAAGACCCAGCATTTAAACGAGTGTCCCTTCGATCAGGCTCGACATTTTTTGCAATGAGCGCGGAAAAGTATTCACCATTACCAGCATGACTCGAAATCAGCACGAACATTTTTGAATCAGTTATAAATTACATGAGTAGAAATGAAAGCTTCCTACTTGTGAACCCTGATTTCCCTGGGGGTATGTGCGGCAAAACTCAGCGACTTCCTCCACACCTTCTCCAATTCTGGAGTGAATGCATACACATGCATTGTTTCCAACTTCAGCAAAGAACTGAAATGAAGATTTAGATGCAAAGAAAAAATAGGACATTCAGTCGCGCGAAAAAAGACTTGCCTGTTTAAAAATCTTGCCGCCAGATGTTAAAATAATTCTTCCTTCCTCTTTATGGTATTCCATGCATTTGGAATGAGGCTCGCCATTCTGGAGTATTTTGCAATCGGCGCCCATTGCAACAAGTTTCTTTCCTAGATCATAAAAGACGCTAAGATGTAACTCGCATATTTATCTAAAACACGTCTCATGAACGTAACGTTGCCATTGAATTCCGTCGTTAAGGTGATGCTTATTAAATAGAGATTTTCTATCGTTACTTTCGAACAGAGGGCTATGAATTCCAAAAAAAATGCAACGCAATATTGTATTTCATTACGAAGAAGCGCAAAGACTGATTTAATACCTTGAAATTATTCATTATTTGCACCCACGTCTCAGCAACAGAAATCTCATTAACTCTGAAAGATCAATAACGTAAGTACAGCAAAAACTGAACTTATTTTCATCTGCTTCGATTTCAATCTACAGAAGCTCTGACTCGAGCGACTGAACCGCTATCATAACATATAATATAACTACTGTATTTACCTACTCCTTGCATCATGGTATCGGCCACGAACCTCAGGCCACGCCATTTGTTCCCATCGGGAGGCGGCGGCTCATTTGACTTACGACGACTGACAGAAACTACAGAATCCTGAACAATAGATTCTATCGTCGTGGATGAAAGGGATTTCCCAGAAATACCAATCGACTTATCTTGCACATTCGAAACTTCAACAGTAGAATTCTTCGAGACTGCTTTCTTTATTGGCTCCGCCGACGGCTTTTCATTCTTCAATGATGCTTGTGCTTTTGTCACAGTCCCGATCTTCGAGGTTTCAACGCCCAATGTAACTGATGATTTAAAATTCGTATTTGTCAAAGACGCACTCTTCCTGCAATCAATTCCTCGCAGATCGTCGCTTGAGGTCATCACAACTTCACGTAATTCATCCGTTTGTAACGCATTCACAGACTTTTGCAATACGCTGGTCGAATGGACAGGAGTCCGGAGCGGTTTGTCCGCATTCGGTTTCGACAAATTCTTGAAAAGTTCATCAGCCGTCACAGCTCTAACATTTCCAGTTTCTTCATTCATTCTCACGGAGTCGGGAGAAATGACATTGCTCCCTTTCAATAAAGCACACATTTTGTTCCACAAGGAGGACGGGTTGAATCCAGCATCACGGAACATTTCTTCGAATTTCAAAGCAACCTCAACAAGACAGTATGCGTCTAAAGCTGAAATATAAAAATTTTGACAATACTATTCTCAACAAAACAAATTTATCACGAACCGGCATATTCGATCTGCTCCATTCTCAATGGACGACGCTCCCAGTTAGATTTCTGTTCGCGTTTATCCAAAGGCTTCCCCAGAAAAATACGAACTAGATTTGTCAGTCCACCCAATCTTTCACCTATAAAAACGAATACATATAATAAGTGAAATACAGCAACTTTCAAACTAATGCACACAGTTACATACCACGCGGCATTTTCTTGAAAAAAATGCTCGTGTAGGTTTTCGACAATCCAGGTTTCACAGGAACACCAAAAACATCATCATTCTTCGTCATGTCCAGAAAATCGAACAGATGACACACTCGGCCTTCAAGATCATGAAAAACCGCACTGAGCTCTTCAAGATGCGCCATGTCGTCCTTCATGCTAAATCCTTAGAATATTCATCGACAGAATTGAAAGATTCAGAAAAACCAGAAAATCTAACGAACGAACCGAGCTTGATTATACTAGGGGAAGTGAAAATTCGCATTAAATGCTCTCCTCCAGCTCCTTTCAAGGATTCACGCAAAGCAAGGATGTCAAGAAGAAACACAGCGTCCGGTATTGCCATTTGGAACAATGCGATGGGGATACTTCCGCCAAAATCTGTTGTTGTCCATTCTCCGTCAAGACCAACAAGGCGATTCTATGAAATTAAGGTACAGAATTTTCAAAGTAAAGTTTGTAAGGTAAAACAATTAATCGTACTTCTTCAATCCGATTCAGTGCTTGGAGCAGTTTTTCTTCTGAGTCCACCCACTTGACATTTTTAATGCCAATTTTTAGTGGATAGTAGTCTCCTAGGTCTGCACTGAAAGCGAAAGTTATTTTTGAAAAACGTATTTCACGCGTTTCAAAATACATGAATAAATAAAAAATAAAAACACTCACACCAAAATTTTCGATTGAAGCCCATCATCGAAACGTTTGCACGCGACATCGAAAGCTAAAGAAACTTTTTTTGGTCGGACAAAGTAGAACTTCGACCATTTCGCCGCCTCATTGTGTAGAGTCATTCCATCAAGATGTTCTACAAGCCATTCGGCGACTTCAGGATCACTGTTCACCGCACATTGAACGAGGTCTGAGAAAGCTTCGAGAGCTAACCAAAAAAGCACGAATTTAGTTACATACTTTTAAATTACCTGAAATAATGAAGACATCAGACTTACACATGGACTTCTGACGGAACGTACTGATAACGCAAAACCTCAAAGCATCCACAGTTTGCGAGAATCTGAGCCCTGGGCAACGTTCGTAGAGCGAAAAATCCTTCATTTCGCAGCATGAAACGAGTAGTTTCTTCAATGACTTCTTGTATTCTTTATCTTCACTGAATATGGAATTTTCAACGATGAAGTTAAGTGTGACAAAGCAATTAACACTCACGGTTGACAGCTTGCATTTTTTCCGCAAGCAAAATCTTTCAACAAAGGATCAATAAGCTCGATTGCTGAACGTCGAGTTTGTTCACTGCACATCACGTAAGATTTCAACTCTTCGACGGATCGACAAGCCATTAATTCCCGTATCATCACATCCGGATCAAAAAAATCTTGCAGTCCAAGGTGAACAATCCACATTGCAGCCTACAAGGACGAGTACAGCTCGTGAGCATTTTTTCGAAATATTTTCCGGCATAGTGTATTTATTTTCGAACCTGTTTGTGCTGCTGATTCTTGCGCAATCTCACAACAGCTTCTGTTAAATCCTGGCCATTTTCCTTCAGTCCAAAAGCGAGACACGCTTTGCTCAGGAACGAGAAATAAGTTCCACCACAAAAAAACTTGAAAACTTCATCTCTCCTACCCTTTCCCAAACATCCCTCTTTCTTTTGGCGTCGAATTTCAACCAGACAATCCAATACGGAACCTTGATAAATGAATGCAATGATCAGAAACGTTCGGTCGCATAGTGTATCAGTGACATCACTTTTCTGCCGTTTCTCGAAGTTCTATCCCCGCCTAACTCACTATTCTTTCACTAGATGAAAACGAATCTATTCAAAACATACCCACGATGTAACGGCTGAATTCCAAGCATTGATCAGGAACGCGTTGGCTCATGAGAAGCTTAAATCCAGCTTCCAATGGATTCGCCGAAGAACTCAGGAAAATTCGCACACCTGCTCTTATGCTGGATATGCGCTCTCCTAAATTTTTTCATACTTCAAAAGCTTGAGCACAAGAATAATATTTCTTCACTCACGTTCTGAGGATGTGGAGTCATACGTCTCCCGCAATCTACTGACCGAGATATTGGTAGGACTCATTTCGAAAGAAATCGCGTCGATTCACACAGCCTGCTTCGTGTTCACGAAGGTTACACTCGTTCTTTCCGACAGCTCAAGGTCATTTCCGACTTTATTGCATGAAACTTTTTGAGTGAGAAAATTGAAAGGCGAGTCATGTTACAGTGCACGATTGCTACACAATCGTGAAGAACTGACGAACCCTGTTAAAAATAAACTCCACGATCCATTTCCAGTCATAATTCGAATAATCGGAATAAAAGCGGATTTCATCAGTTGCTTTTCAACTAAAGCCGACGCGGTCTCGAGGAATGAGTCTCAGTTGAGTTCCATACTTTAAAAACACGTTTCCTGAAATGAAAAATGTTGAATTATTATTCGATGATCAAAAATCTTCAAAGCAGGTTTACAACCGGCAGTTTGCTGAGGGTTTATTCCAACGCCATCGTCGGTTATTATCGCTGAAGTAGCTGGATTTTGCTTGAATTCTTCTGCAGCATATTTCAGAACGGCGGTGAAGGGAGTGCTTTCCGGTACACTTAATCTAATTTGAGAATTTTCCATTCCATCAAAACTCACAACTAGATATCGAATTGATACTCACACTTTGTACGGAAGTTTGGGATCAGATGTCAAAGTAATCTTGAACGTAACCTTTGAACTGAAATAATAAAAACTCTATTCAAGCACCGGTACGAAAATCAAATTGTCGAGACATACCTCATCCTTCGGCGGACGAAATTTACTATCCTGCGGTCACTACCGTGAATAAATACCAAAACGCTTTCGCACGCGAAAAGTTCACCACAACCCTCTGATCAGCTGACCACGTGTATGGAAGCTGACTGAACTAACGCAATGCCATGAGCTAATCGCGGCTCAGGTGATAAGCTCTTCAATCGTGTGGGAACACCCACCCTCCGGAAATCATTCCAATCAGTTTATATCAGATATTAAAGGTGTCGCCTTAAAGCATGTGCTGCTGCAGTTTAGCAGGCTTCTGTTCGCATCACGTGATGCGTATGTACTGTATTTATGTATTGTCTATCAAATTGGAATATGAAAGTGACTTCCAAAACTTTAAACAAAACTACTGTATTTGCAGTATTAATGTATCATACTACCATCATTTCATCAGACTGTTGCAAATTACTAAAAATGCATTTCTCTGTAGAGAAATATAGAATAAAAACCAGCAGAAAATGCTTCTGCATAGGAGATTATATATTCTGTACTGTATATATATATACTGCAGTTTATATAGGACAACCTTGTATAATATACTGTATAAGCAAGAACATTTTGAAATCCTGTTATTTATGTACTACAATATATTTATTTATTGTCTCACAAAAATGTTTGAATTGTGTCTGTGCCCAAGTGGGGAAATTGGTGGACACTGGGAATATGTTTGTAATTCTACACAGTGACCCTGCTGTGCAACTGCTGAAGTGTACCAAAGTTCTTCTGTTGCACATGCAGCATATCCCTGATGTGCACCAATTGTGTGTTCACACCATCAGGATTACTCAGTAGGGTAACATTTGTAAACAAATAAGTTACACCTAGATTATAGTTGGTGCATTTGATGTGTGATACTCCTGTTATGTCACATTTGTGCACCAAATGTAGCCCAGGAATGGTAGCAAAATTTTGTCTATGCATGCTTGTAACCCCAGAATAGCCCATGTACACTAATTGTGACCCCAGTGTGCACCATTTGTGGGGGCACACAAAGAATAGCTCCCCCACTTGGATGGGTCACTGAAAGAGTGCATGTATCTTTGATGAGTTTCAAAAATCAGAATTACATTTTTTAATCTGAGTTATATGTTCTTGAGTCATTCTCAAAAATGCATATATATAGGCAGCATCACTTATACTATCCATCAAACTTTGTGAAATGTGTGACCTTTTGGGTATAACCATCAATATGGCTGCAGATGAAAAAAAATCAAATTTAACCAGCATTCAAAATTGCTTCAATAAATATATGCTTCTGATACAGGGTGGGCCAAATAAAGTGAACAAATCTTTGAATTAGGATATCTCTGTGAAAATTTAAGCTATACAACAATGAAAAAATACCAAATGAAAGCTTATTTGCTGCTCTTTAAAAATGGATCGTTGTTTTATAGTCCTAAGTGTCATCAAAAAGTCACAAAAAACATTTGAATGAAAACTTTGGAATTAAAAAATGTTGTCATGCCCCTCTTCCTGCTAAGCGTATGCTGTCTACAAAACCTCCCAAAAATTACCCGAAAATTAGGACAGCCCTAATCAGTGCACCCCAGAAACAAGACCAGGGATAAGTACAGACAGGAAAATAAATAAGCCCATATAAAAACCAACCCAGGCCAAAACTAGCAGGAAAAACAAAAATCATCATGGCATGCACACAAGATAACCCATGCAGGACGCAGGAAATCACTCCACCAGACAAGCACCCAATCAGCTCTTGAGTCACTCAACATTCATTGATGGTTAAATAAAATAAAGCCAGACAACGACCCAATCGCTCTTGAGTGTTAAGTCACTCAACATTCATCACAGCCCACTCAACATTCATTGGGGGGGGGGGGGGGGGTAGGTGCATTTGTGCATTTGCAAAAATCCACAAATCAACCACCCATCCACTGATTTCACTTTTTTAAATCCAACTTTTCCCCTCACTCCTACCTCCTTCTTTTGAATTTTGGGAATTTGATTCAATGAAAAATCGTTTCATATTCGAAAGAAGATAATTTCTTAACATTTTAGTTTTTCTGAATAAATCAATTTAAACAAAAGCAGAAAAACTTTGTGAGCAACAGATCAACACATTTCTGGCAGAAGAAGTACCGTAAAAATGCAAGTAAAAATCTTGTTTCCCATTATTAAATAAGAAAACCCACACAACTGGGGAAAATTAGAAGTTTCAGCTGAGACCTCACAAATTTTCATTTTATAAACAATATAATTTTTCAACTTTTTCAATTTCTGTCGGTTGGAATTATTCCCTGAACATTTAGAGGCACCCTGTTTACAATTCAGTGCTTGAAATAATCCGCTTTAATTTCAGTTTATTGCATACCAGCACACTTAAATTCGACGTCAGTACCGTGTTCAAATGAAGAAAAAAAATAACTGAAGGACATTTTAATTTCACTTTTCATGATGTGGTGTGAAAGTGCTATGCCCTGATGTATGTAATAAAATATGTAAGCGCATTCGTGTTGTTCCTCTGGCCAATTCACAAAATGATGTGATCTTTGACTGCATGATGCCGGCCCAAGAGAATTGGAGTCCTTATTGCCAGTAATAAAAAAATGCCATCCTTATTTTCATCAGTTGATGAAAATCGTCTCACAATGTGATTCAACGTGGTCTCTGTTGGGGTAAATTTTGGAGTTGTAAAAAATAAACCACAATATGCATCCACGGTTTTTTTTTTTCATGCTTCCCTCTCTTAAAACATGAACAGAACAACAATTGATTCATTCAGAAATGAATTCATTTATCTCTCCAATCATTCATATTGTGATATCCTTGAATTTTCACTGTTAAAGTACTATGCTATAGTAATAAACAAGAACTGCATCACATTGAATAGGTATAATTGTAGGGCTAATGCAAAATTTTTGAGATATTCAATATGCAGTCATGATTTATTATAATCCTTGATGTTGCCCACCATGTGTACTACTCTCAGTCTTTATGTATTTAGATATCTATACCATTTGGTGAACACCTTCAATTCTATTATATACTGCACAACGTATGCCATATCATATTAGCAGTAAATACCGTAATGGAGAGAATAAACAATGATCCAGCTATAGTGGCCCTATTTTTGATGCCTTGCTTGTTTTTGCATAAGGGGATAGCTTAGCCTCCAATAATGCTCACATGAAGAGTGAACCCTAAAGGTCATCCTGATGAATGACTGTATATCTTCACGTTCCTCCAAGGTTAATTTTTTCAGAGTGGACAGCAGCAGAAACTCGGAAATGCAAGTTTTTTCTTTATCCTTGGGTATGTGTGGCATTCTTATTCCTGTCCAGTATTGATGACATGATTTTTATTGTTGTTTGATCATATTAGTTTTTTATTGTGCATTTTTTTCCTTTATTTGAAATTGTTTCTGTGTCTGTGATGTTGAATGTTGGTAGCATTTGAGTTATTTAGGGCTGAATAACATCTGTCCGTATGTGTCAAATGTCAAGATTTAGATAGGAATGCTTTCCAACAGTTTTTACTGAACCAAATACAGCCATTTCTCCGTCTTGTTGCTAGAGTAGAAAAGATGTTTCAAATTTTTTCTTGATCTTCCTGCTGTCAGGAAAGAATTCAAACTTCAAGTAATTCTTGCAAATGATTTGAGGCGCAAGACAATATTAACAACTAATCTCTCAACGCATTTTTTTGTGAGCCTGAGAACCGAACCCAGGTTTTGTTCCCAGGCTCACCCAAGGACATTTCCTAACTGCTAAAAAATGGAAAAAGTGGCCAAAATCCGGCCTTCATTTATAATCCAAAAAATTGTTGTGGTTAACTAAAACCACAGGTTTTATCACTCTGCATTGAACTCTCTAATTGTACAGATCTCCAGAGAACTCTTGCTACTCTTGTGTGTGTCAAATCTTCAACCAATTCCAAAATTGGTGTTTTTCTTGCATACTTGTGAAAATCTTTCAATTGCTCAAATCAAACTTGTCTTGAACAATACATCATTTTAAACTAGGACAATAAGTCCAGGCCACAGCCCAGCTGTTTGAACCGTGTTTCATTTCTCTCAATTGCCTGAACAGTTACAAATTTCTCAATTAAACTTGTCTTGAACAATACATCATTTTAAACTATGACAATAAGTCCCGGCCACAGCCCGGCTGTTCAAACCGCGTTTCATTTCTCTCAATTGCCTGAACAGTTACAAATTTTGTATACGTTCATTTCCTTATTTTTTAGACTTTTGTGTGGTAAAAGAAAAAAATCTCTATTATTCCTTTCCTCACACCTGCTTCATGCGTCTTTTTCGCATATACTGTATACTTCATATAAATATATAAAGGATGGTGCCATGCTGCAACACCAATATTTTGCATGGTGTCTCGTCGATTCAGCATGAGGCTGGATCAAATGAATGAAAATGCGGAAAGTAACCCATCTTCAACTCTTTTTTTTTTGCCCAAACAATATTTCAAGTGCACTCTGAACGCAAACCGCGCTTATTATATACAAGCTGGGGGTGCCCAGCCACACCTGGGCATCATGTCAAGAAGCTTACAAAGGTTTTTAAAATGTCCCATACTTAGAGCAGATATATAAGAGCAGACAGGGCCATGTGATTACATCTGGTAACATTTGTAATGTCCATCTGTAGGCATGTGGTATTTGTTGGTACATGTCAAGTCCCCAACATGCTTCAAAAACAATACTTTGCTGAAAAAATAATACTAATTGAAAAAAAGTGGTATTACACTGTACTACCTTGGGTCCCTAATGTTATCCAGTATCTTACCATACTGTGCAATGGATAAAATCCCACACTATTTCTCCATTCCTAGTTATGGCCCTATCATTGCATAATATTTTATTGTTGGATGCTAGGACCCAAACATGGTAAAGTATTTCACTGTATGACTTTGGGCCCATAATTTCCCACAGTATTTCACTGTGGTGTATCCATTCCTAGTTGTGGCCCTATCATTGCATAATATTTTATTGTTGGATGCTAGGACCCAAACATGGTAAAGTATTTCACTGTATGACTTTGGGCCCATAATTTCCCACAGTATTTCACTGTGGTGTAGCATTAGGGCCCTAAAAATGCACTATATTTCACTCTGGATTGCTAGGGCCCCAATATCATGTAGTATTTCACTATATGAGATTAGGGCCACAATACAGAATACCTTATCCTACACAGAAACTACCCTATCCCACCAA